CCCTGCCTGCCGCCCGCCCCTGCAGCCTGGGGCCCTACCTGCAGTGCCCGAGTAGTCGGCCACCGTGAGCGGGTACCCGTCCCCCTCGGGATCCACTGAGAACAGGCCCACCCCGAAGCTCCGGTAGTGGGCGTAGGCCGTGCCATTGTCGAAGTCCTCCAGGTCCACGTGCAGCTCGTAGGCCGCCTGGGCGGTCAGCGCGTGGAGCCTCCTGAGCCCTGGAGCGGGAGAGGAGATGTGGGAGGAGTTGGGGGGCTTAGGAGGTGGCCCCCCCGAGAGAACTAGGGAGAAACAAGAGCTCGGCTCATGCGGCTGGTGACAAAGGGACAACGACCCCAGAGGTGGGGCTCCGCACACAGTAGGCGCTCAATACGTGGATGAGAGGAAGGGGGGGTGCCTGTCTCCTGCTGCCTCCAGGGCCTGGCTCTGTGCCCTCAACACGCAACACCCGGCCCACCTCCTCCCTCCCTCCCTCTGTCCCTCCCTCCGTCTGTCCCTCCCGCCTGAGCTCTCCTGTGCCCATCCTGGGACCTCGCCCCAGCCTCCCTCCCCCACACACACTCTTAGGACAGCCTCAGTTTCCCCATCCACTCCCAGGGTGGGTATAAGGTTGGGCCGGGCAGAGAGGAGGTGCGCAGGGAGGGGGGCCGTGGTCACGTCCGCTCCGGGGTGTCTGGGTCTCCTGCGGCCGGAGCCTGGGCGCTGCCAGGGACACAGCAGAGATCGGGGCAGAGGGGCTCCTGCCCTCACGGATCCCAGGTCGGAGGAAACAGACATTAAGCAAATGGCAGCTTAAATCACCACCCAGCTGTCTCTGCACCCACAGGGGGGTGGGCACACCCCCCAGGACCTACCCGCCCCTTCTCCCAAGGGTTCCTCCTGACGCAGACCCTTCCCCTGTCCCCCCATCCAGGTAGGTGTGTAAGTAGGGAGACGGCGGCCAGGTGGGGGCCCAGACCTTTGCACTGAGCCCTCCTGTTGGTGCTCCCCACCAGCCCCACGCCTCACACTTTCGCTGTCACCTCCCGCAGGCCACCTCTGTGGGCGGCAGGGGCTCTCACCCAGCCAGTGCTCCCCGGTGAGCTTGCCGAAGCCGTCCCGGTACGCCTCCCAGCCTCGGAAGAAGTTCACGGAGCCGTCCTCCCGCCGCTGAAATACCTGCGGGGAGGTGAGCATGGAGAGCTGGCCCAGGCCCCCGGCCCCAGGCCCAGCCTGCGTCCCCCTGCCCCGCCTGCCCCCTTCTCCACCGGCCGCTCCGGAAGGCAGGGGCTGGTCCTCCCATTTCCCTCAACAGCTCTCAGCACGGGGCCTGGAGCAGAGCCCGGATTCTGCAGCCCTGTGGTGACCCGAGGTGGGACTGAGTGTCCCCAAGCCCCCAGGACGTCCCCTCAGGAAGGATCAGGGTCACCGGGGTGGGGCGGAGGGAGCCCTGCTTCCAAGCCCGCCTCTGCTGCCTCACCGCGGGACCCCAGACTGGTCCTATCCCTGCTTGGGCCTTAGTTTCCCCACTAGTCAAATAAAAGGGCCACGGGGGCAAGGGTCCCAATAGCTTTCCCAGGTCAAAACAAACCCGAACAAAAACCCATCCTCAAGTTTTTAAAAACCAAGAACCCGCCC